GGCGTATTTGGGTCGCCATAACATCATGCGGGAAAAGACGCTTCTAATATAGTTAAAGAATGCCAGGTCAAAATGTAAGTACTATTCAGGTCTTTGAGTGCGTGACTTACTTGTTGAATATGGTCCTGCAGGGGTCGGGGAATGACGTCCCGACCCCGTCCCCCACCAGCCGATCAGCTTTGACACACTTCTTGTAGCTGTCAGTGTCCAGGATTGAAGACAGGTACGTGACCTTCCCATCCGTTATGGACCAACGGTGAAGGACAGCCAGGCCATCAAACATGTGTCTGTACCTGGTGTCGCCCATTTTGAAGATGCCGCCACCGTTCCGGTACAGCGAGCCGCTCAGCCATGAGGGGATGCGGCCTGCAGTATAGTTGGATTGGGATCGGGATTGGGGTTGGGGGGAAAGTGGGGGGAGGGGTAACGATAGTTAAAATTCTTGAACAATCAATAAAAGACAATAGAGACAACAGTAGCAGCAGCACCACCACTACCGCCACCACCACCCAACAACAACAACAACAATAACAACAACAGCAGCAACAACAACAACAACAGCAACAGCAGCAACAGCAGCAACAGCAGCAACAGCAACAACAACAACAACAACAATAATAATAACAACAACGGAGACGACGACGACGATGGCAGCGATGACGCGACACGTTACAAGGACCTTTCGACTTACAAACCCATTGCATCATAGCCCACCCCCGTGTCCTCCCCCCTATGCAAACTGTTTTCCATTTCAAAACATAAGGGAGGGAGGGGGTGTATCGCCAACACAAATATGTAGTAGCATTGTAAATAGGCCAAACTTTAAAAAAGAACCTCAGTCTCTATTTGGGCACTTTCTCGCTTATTTTACTAAAAAAAATTTAAGGCACTAGCAGCACAGTTAGGTAATACAAGTAACAAAGATTAGAGGTGTTACAAAAGAAATAACAAAAGTCAAAAAAAAGGAGAAGGCGAGAAAACGACGATAGATGTTTGATAGGAAAGAAGAAGCAGCAATCAACACCAGAGAACCCACCAACCACCCACGCCGCTTTCTGGCGCGATAGTTTACCACTCTCTAGAAAGTGCAACAGCTTGATAAAATTACAACTCCCGTGCAGAAATTTGTCCAAGCTATAAATAGATATATGATGACTAAACCCCACCCCCCTTCGTCTCCTGCATGCACTAGATCTAGTTCTCTAAAAAAAAAGTAGGCCGGTATTGAATGCTAGAATAATTATGTGGGACTTGCGATCAGAAACAAAGCCTTGCCAACTGTAGCACTTCAATCGGCACTTCTCCTCCTTTCAATAACAACAAAAAAACATAGCAAAATTCATTTTGAATATCTGGCTCAAGGACAACAACACAACACTAAGGAGATTAAGTACATATAGGACACAAGGGTTTAGGGTGGGGTTCTAGAACATAGAAATGCACCATGTCATCAGGACTTTGTATTTTTAAAATAGGTGTGTTTTTATGCCACCGTCGATACAATTTAGATCAGTTGGGATGTGGGCTTCCGGGCATGTCTGCCAGGGCCAACCCAGGCTGAGACTATTACAACATCCCAGAGGAAAGGCCTAGTTACTCGTTTAAAATTCTCCCCATCAGGAATCGAACTTGGGGCTCCTGTGTGCTACCGAAGCACCCAACCGCTAAACAACAGACGCCGGTGTCATGATATTAAATGTTATAATTTAATTCAACTAGCTTACGATTACACTTGTCGCTGCTATTCGATGAGCGCCTGAAGATGAATAAAAACACTTAATCCCTGTGAAAAATCAATAATTTGTCAAAGTTCGCCCCTGTCTTCGGATTCTCTGACGGCGTAAAGATCACTTCGCTTGGTTTTGAAGAGCGACTTCCTGCGCTCTTTTTCCCCCAAACATCGTTTGGCTTAGCCTTGCAAGTGGAAAGTCAGATCACCCCCACCCCCTTACACCTTTTTTTTCTTCCCACCTACTCCTCTACACAAAAAAATGGTGAAATGGTATAGGTTTAACGCCCCGATCAACACTATTAGATTACCCAAGAGGCGAGACCCCCGAGTTTAACGTCCATCTCCGAAAGGACCGAGCCAAATGGGAAATATGTGTAAAGTGTCTTTCCCAAGAACACAACGTCGGACCGAGCTGAGGCTCGAACACCCGAACTCGCAATCTCACGATTACGGGTCCGGTAATCTAACCACTAGGCTTATACCAACGCCACTATTCCTCTAAGAGAAAAAAACCCATACAAAATAACAATTATTAACAAACATATTAAACAAAGTAACAAACAATATCGGCCTAAGGAACAGAAAGTCATAAACGGCTTGAACATGAATTTAACGTAGGCTACTTCTTAAAACAAAATAAAATATTTTGTTTCCCTCATTATGGGAGCTCAACCGTCTGCTTTAAGCTTGGCTAGACCCTTAAGGACGCCAACATTTCTACAAGGGCACTTGAGTAAACGACTTTTGAAACTAAATCGACATTCCGACGGCAGCATTATAGCTCTAATACACAGTGCACACTGTAGTTCGCGTTTCGTAAAATGGCCTTTTGATACATTTAAAAATACATTTGACAAGCTAGGATTTCCTTGGTGGGGAAAGATGATCGGATCGTACAGAATAAAACGTATCAAAATCTCGGGGAAAGGGGGG